TGTCAGGTAGCCGCTTTTGTCGTTGAGAAACTAGAAATGAAGATAACGGCAGTTGATTGTTAGTGACGATCACAATAACATTTGAAAATGGCTAAAGACAAACAAGCAGCAAGCAATGGACGCCTGTTAGAGGTTGCCTGTGGGGTACTTCCCTTCAGGCAAAGCGATAAGAGATCGGGTAAAGGGAAGCCAGGATATAGACTTGTTCCCTGCAAACGCTGGCGCGCTTCAGAGGGACTCGGTTTGTTGCAGCGCTACCAGACGTTGTCACCTGCCGTCTTCCGCAGTTGGTGAAGAGCGTGTCAGCGCTGCGCAAAGCTCGGGCTCTGCCCTGTGAGTCGCTGCATCCTCAGCGAACAAGAATGAGTGCAGTGCTAGAAGTGTTGCTACCGCTGTCACTGCTGGGTAGGTTACCTGCTTGCGGAGGGACAAACAGATTTTCAAATGATAGTGGAGCCTTCCGTGGAACTTGCCTGGTCTCAACCACTGTATCTTTAAGATCCGTCGCTCAGCGCAGGTTCCGTGCGTCTGCGGTAATCAGCCTGAGTTTTGGTGCCGGGTTATGAAAAGCAATTCGCAGACTTTAAGACATTGTCGGAGCAGCTAGAAGGCCAGTCTCTTCCAACAGCAGAGCTGCGGTATCAGGAAACCTGTGCTAAACAGCCATAGAGTGTTAGCTTCCAGGGTAACGTTAATTCTGGAGCCTTCCTCAGTCAGTCCTTGATGGTAACTGGTAAGCTTCTAATGTCACTATTGAGTAAATGTGCTAGATCGTAATGACAGTGGAAAAGAAGTGCTTGAAATGTTAAGGTCCTGCTGATGTATACAGTACAGAGAGTATTTCTGCGCTGTATCTTTTCGCATTGAACCCGGTGCGCGTGATGGATTCCCTGCAATCACCTGCAGCACGTGATATTTTCGAAATGGCGCCCCAGCGCGTAGAGACATTGTCATAATCAACATTACTTGTTGAATAACATCGGAGCTCCAAGCGGCAGCGTCAACCCAGCAATTATGGTACAATTATGACTTACGAACCATGGGCTCGAGCTATAGACTTAAGTTGTCGTTAGTTTGTTCGCATGGGGTCTTGAACGAATTCTTTCGTAACGGGTCAAGTGGTCAGCAAGCCCCAGTCCTGCTGCCGTCTCCTTGCTTTCTGGACCAAGGACTGGGACCTCGCGGGTACGACCCTTTTCATCTACCTAGTGGCAGGTAAATGACCTTATAGTTCTGTCACAACAAAAGTCGGTTCTCTATCCCTTCCATATCTTCTACTCGCAGCCAATTCGCTCGCCCATGTTCCGTGTATTAGCTGCCCCTTGAATTGTCTTCATTTATTTCACAGCCACTACTCTATTCTTGTTTTTTATTATGGTACCTCAGGTCTGTGGCACATCTTGATGGTTTCTCTAATGATAAGAATATATGATAAAAGAATCGCTCTGGTACAATTTCAGCATTACTGTTATTCGCCTCTCAAGAGTGGAGAGTTCTATGAGAGGAATTTTTCTTTCAACCGCAATAGTCCGCGACATAAGGAGATACAGCTTAGTTTCGGTGACCGATTTATTAGCGTTGCTCCTTTTTTTATGAGACACTGTTGCAGCGCTTTGGATTCTGATATCTATCACGGCAATGTATGTAAATGCTATTGGATTAGGGAAGAGTAATCAACATCAGAGGCATTCAAGCTCTTCTCGAGTCTCAAGATACTGAACTCTTGAGTAACTTGTGTACAAGCTTAATTTCTTAGTTACCTTGAGTGCGGGTAGAAACTGAATAACTCAGGAAAGATATGTATTGGGGAAAATTCACTGGGCCGTCGAAAGCGATGCAGAAATTTAGGGAAAAGGGCCGTTACAGCTTTTAGGACACCTAGCCTTTCTTGATTATCTCAGGTCCTTCCTCTCCCACGTCTCAAAAGATCTTATCCATATTCCAGGAGATGCACAAATCACGGAATCTCAAAAAGCAAAAAATACTACTTTGCCTTGATGTGGAGTTGGTGTTACCAAAGTCTTCAAAACTGCATGCAATGTTCCATTTTGCTGCCGAGCTGATACTGCGCTGCTGATTGTAACATGGTCATTCCCTATTATGCAGAAGTAGTCAGAGATCGGCTAGACCCTAAGCGAGTCAGTCAGAAATAAGCCATTATGGGCCAATTTTGGCTCTGGAGAAACAAATCTGTGCTTTCTGAGACCACAGTACTGCGAAATGTTCAGAGACTCATCCATCCAGGAGTTCCTTCGACTCCCTCTCTCTAATCAGTCCTCACCCCTGGCTCAAACAGCATACGTCATCGTAGAGCTAATCCCATCAAGAAGCTGTAATTCGTTGCCAACACCTAATAAATGACGTCTGTCTGCATGCAGAATGAGTTACTATCCTTTGCAGTTTACAGAACTGTGCAAAGATGTCACTAATACCGGCCTAACTGAGGAAAAGAAAGCCTCATAAGCTTGAGGGCATCAAATGTCCCCACCGACAACAGAATGAAAGAGTGAAGCCTCCACTGTTGACCACCCCCCCTGGGATGCGTTGTAGTTAAATTCAAAATCATCAGACATACTGAATTCGATGTGTTCCGTACAATGAGGTGCAGGGACACTGGCTGAACAAGTCGCCTGTCCTGGTCTCTGCATTTACGGAGCGCGTTTACTATTTACAGTCTCCAGCTGTCAGAGTGCTTAGGGCTTATTTGGCCTGGTTTGCGGGGGCAGACTCAAGCTAGGACCGCGAAACAGTGCATTGGTAAGCAGCGTCCGCCTTGCCACTTATATCGACTTAACTAGGGTACTTTATGAAGGAGGCAAGAAAAATCATTGATAAGCAAGCTCACCATTAGTTGTTTCTAACTCTGGTTTCATTGATCTACTGATTTTCAGCGTTCTGAGACCAGTAACTCAGCTTTTCTATTAAGCAGTGGAGACGGAACGTTCACAGGAGATGGAGGGCTTGCTGGAGATCCGCTTTCGACCATTCGGATAGTGAAGAGGATACTCACCGAGAAAATGCAAAAGGCTAAAGAGGTGGGAAATTGCAGTGATGGGCGCGATGACACAAGGCGTATGATACACGCAACTCATGTGAACCCGCATAAGTCACCAGTCTCCCTAATTTCCGCATAAGTCATAGGTGAAAATTACATTACAGCGCGATGCTTGATTCACTTGTGATTTCCCATTGAAAAACAGAGATCTATGGATGAATAATCATGCTCATGGGCTATCCCTGAGCTAATGAAAACACGTCACTCGCTCATTTCCTCAAGGAACTGTCTTTTAAACTGATCTCTCATGGCGTTACATGGGAGCGGTTCGCAGCTACAACTAGAATTTTGAATTAAAGAGGATGCGTTGTGCACCGTATACACAATTATCCATGGCAAGTAATACAATTTTTATGTGTAAAGTGAGGGCTATTTCCAGTGTGTATTTCCAATTATCTATGCTTTTCGATAGATAATTTTCCGCTCTATAAAAAGGTTATGTGCCTTCCGACTATTTCTTGATTTCTGCCGATTTTATTCCATTGAAATGGAAATTCGGGTCGAACAAAAGTGCTTTTTTGGCAGTAACTTTTCGCTTTATATTCTCTGCTCATCATGTTGACTGGAGAAGCTTACAATCTAGTGTCTGATGAAAAGTTGATTTTCACGTCAGAGTTGGTTCAAGCGGTTGGTGAGTTTGGTCTTCAAGCGGAGTTAGAGAATGGAATCGGCCCATACAAAAGTAGCATTTGCCTGCCCCCATTGAGGAACGACTGGCTGCAGAAACTATCCACGAACTTTTGAGCGTCTAACATGGACTGAAGGTGATGCTTGATCACAGTGAGGAAATATTTCATGGCCTCTGACGATTTCCATCTTAGTCTAAATCTATTCATTCGGATTCAGTGTAGGCATTATGTATCGATTCCGTGCCTGAGGGTCAAAAATTGTATTGTTTCAATTGGCTTAAATCACTTCAAAAGCATTCTGAGAGGACATAGCTTCTCGGCCTATACACTTAGATAACTATACTGGCGCAGTAGTATCTTTTATTTAGAAGTGAGTATAGAGAAGGCTGTCGAAATTGCTCAATTTCGTCGACCCGATACTTCATTCTGAGCACTTAAATATTAGTGGGAACAGAAACTTCGAGAAAACCACGAGAACTATCGTGAAGAGCGTGGAATTTTCTGCCAAATAGTACGAAACTCAATGGCGAAACTGGCAAACTTCTCACCGATTTTTCCAGTGAGGAAAACTGCTATTTCTTATGGGCCAGCCCAATATGTTGATACGTATTCAGCGCACTAATGCATGAAATAAAATGGAGAAAAAAATGTAGAACGTCGACAATCCTTGGCAAATCTTTAGGACTGAGCTGGCGACTAGCGCGGCAATTACGCTTGTATTGGCGCATACTCGTTATGTGTACAGGGTTTTATCAGGAGGATTACCCAGGTTGCTTTTGGTTGTGATGTGTGCAGTTGTGTCACAAGCTTGGAAGGCTATCGGATCGCATGTGGTTTTGCTTCATATTTGCCAGGGAGGAAAACAGAGCAAAAACCTACCACTGAGTTTTCTAGGATGGCACAGTGGCAAACGACCCTGCATATGAAACGTAACCACGGTCGAGCCCTGAATATACCGAAGGAGCTTCCCGGTTCAAGAAAATAGTACTGGATTTGTCCGTGAGAATAAAGCTGACGACTTGCGATTCGCCTGGCCTTCACAGATCTTGTACAGCCCAAGTAGCAGTTGATCACGATCGCGGTCGGGAGTAGGATGTATGGCGCATCGCAAAGAATATTGACCAACGCCGATCTGTTTCTAATTGTAGTTACTAGCCTCATAGTTTTCAGGAAGATCGTCTGGTGGAAGAAGTGGTTTGTCGACGAGCTACGCAAAGGTTAACGGAGTATGAGGCAATCGTGGAAGATTTGGCTAATAGACGAAGCAATGCCCTCGTCTATAATAAGACAGAGCAGGTCCTCACTGAAATTATGGTTCACCTCTGACTGTTGAAAGTCTTCGTTTCAGGCCGAAAAGTTGCGCTTAGCAATGATAGACAGTCGCGATACCGTATTCAGAGCCATTCACGTCGACTTGCTGCTCGGTCCAGATGAAGTAAGGGCATTATTGTAGTTCAATCATTTGCCTACGAATTATCTTTCATGCTTTCAGTTGCGGGCAATCGGCGCCAGCTCTTCCTGGGCTCCGTAAGATTGAGATTGATAACAGATTTAGGCTTAACTGCAGCTCTTAAAGTGCTTGATGTAGTCTCCTCTAGAATAAACAACTGCTTCTTTTCATTTCTTTGTTTTTTTTTCATTTTTGTTGGATAATTGGGGTACGCGACAATGTGATTGTCACTTGTCGTTAAAGTTCCTTTAGTGCAGCTCTTGCATGAAGTAAATGCAAGAACAGCGAGGCCGATTTTGAAACACAAATCTTTTACTAGGTTGGAAGCGAAGATTCATATACTCGAAATCCCTGAGATCGGGTAGGCGTGGCTGCGTACTTGATTTTAAAATGGCGGCGGCCCAGGTTTTCGTGAGATATTGTCATTTTGGAGCAGTCGTAATCATGTCTACATCTAACACAGAACAAGATAGCAGTTGTTTCAAATTGAAGTATCCCACGAAAAACCCGTCCTATGCCATGCTTGAAAGCCACGCTTACTCCGTTAGTGACTCAACCTGCTGATATGAATAGCACCTAAACGTTCCCTGAAGCGTATATTAAAGGCAGCGCCCGCATTCAATTTGATGAGTTATGGGGCTCAGACAGTGACAACAAGGTAAAGTAGTTCGTTAGTGAAGGAAAATGCAAAAAATCATTGGATATGTCCTATATTGGACCCCACGCCGAGCTGAGGTTGCACGTGCTTAAGGCGAAGGGAAGCCGTCGCCGCACGAGTTCTCACTTGTTGATATCAGCTGTTTTCCCTTATCACCTCACTCTCACCATTCGAAGCGGAGAGAGTTGGTTGCGGAACAACCGCACCATCAGGCAACCATTAGAAATGAAGTTGGGCGTAGTGGTCGCCAGGTGGGCGGGGTGGCCGACTCTTCACGAGCGGGCGCCGCTATTCTCTCGCATTTTTGAGTTGCGAAACTAGTACGTCCACCATCCTCATAGGGTGAGCTACGATATCCAAAGAGGGCGTGGGAACAACAAATGAACGCGGGCGCTGCCTTTAAAGGCAAAAGGCGCGATCATTTGACATCACAGATAGTGGATTAGGGCTTTCATCCAGGCGACAAGGTGCTGAGTAACTCGACAGGAATAAAAAAAGCAGAAAAAAAGCACGCGAACTGCCCTTGATAGAACCCTGTTTCGATTCCAGTTTGAACGTACCAGTTTGCTCCATCTCCAACACTACGCCCTCATCCGCACAGCTGATTCCCCGATAAGAACTCTACGACCGTACAAGTGACGATTTTCATGCTTTTTCGTCCTGCAGCTTCGTTGTCACTGGAAGGCAAGGCCTGAAGGCGGAGTCGGTGGGGCGTAGTCACTGAAAAAAGGAGGCGTCACTGAACCTATATTGCGCTATATGGTCACTCCTCAATTTTTTTTCCGCGAAACCGGTTTAAGGGTGGTTGTCGCGGACCGCACTCCCCTCTAAATACCACATTTTCAACTTCTGTACCTGATCGCGGACCGTGCTTGAGGGTGATGGAGTCGGCTGGAATTCTCAGCTTCAGCTATGCACTTCTGCACGCCTCATCAAATGGACAACGCGATCATAGGGGACCTAACTTATTCAAAGGCATAATAAGGTACGATTATCTGGTACTCGGAGTGAAATGGTAGCAGGAGTGCTGTACAGTGGAAAAATGGCGAAAAGCGAACTGAAACCGTCAAAAACGTCTAGGAAAGGTCCTAGTTCTACACGACTCAGAAAGCAATGCGGAAGAGTTTCTCGCTGGCATCGTGCCAATGACCGCGGCGATAGATACAGCTGCATGGATGTACTCAAATATCCATGCAACATCGCAGCCGCTTCATATCAACCCCCCCCGCTTTCATAGTGTAAAAGTCCGCAAATAAAGCGATAAGAGCTTCAGAATCAGTCGGATTTTGTGGGGCGGGCGGGCATGATGGAGCATTTTGCAGCTTGACAGGGCGCCATAGGGTACATTCTTCAAAAAGGCGCCACACAGCGCCTGTTCAGGGGCGCCGAGTTCTGTCCAGCTAGGCGTATTGATGTACACGTCTTAGGAATTTATCGTGCCACTTGTTTTAACATAGAATTGTCGCAGCATGTTGCGCCCTATGTGCCTGTCCCAATGGATGTAATTGCTATCACGTCAACAGAATAATCGCTGGCTCAGTCTGGCTTGGAGAAGGGGGGGGGGCGGAGCATTCCACACTTTTGCCCGTTCACGTTAACTAACAGGTCTCACTTTTACAAGAGCTGTAGACTCTAATGAAGCTGCGATGGGGTGTACATGAGCAACTTTTCACAGGAGTTCACAAGTTATGACAATGTGGCCTTAACAAGTTGAACTGAAAAACATGGTGGCCCACCAAGCCAAAATCCGCCAGAGTAGCCTTAGGCAAGGCCAGCTTCCTAACAGGACTAACATGGATTTCAGATAACTTCATACTGCACACGGCTCTTACAGCGAGTCCAATTGAGACCCGTCCAAACATTCGGATCTGTCACATATTTATTTATTCGAAATAAATAAACAACTCATAGTTGCGGTTTATGGCACTTCAACGCTCTGCGAGGCTTCAATTTCGCTAACAATAAAAGTGACCTAACGGAAATACAGTATCCATTTTACAGTGACCCTGAGTGACTTGTTAATGTGAAAGTATACCACCGCATTTATCAGTGGTCGGTGAGCTACAATGACTAGCATTGGTGGGTGTCATACTGAAGTAGCCGTCGTCGCTGTCCGTCTTCTCTTTGCTTTCGTGGAGATGAGACAGCAACGCCACAGCGCACACTTCTTTCTGAAGTTCCAGCAAACGACGCTGCTCATGTTTGCTGAAATGCAGACTTGATCATCGTCCACTAAGAACATTGTAGCATCAAAATGAATGTGAACTGATAACGTACTAAACTTAATCATTACTTTTGGGTTATTGACATCGTTTAGCGACGACGGGGAATAAAGGCGAGTGGTACAACAAATCGACAAGGCGTACAGGGTCGATACGCCCAGCAAGACAGAATATTATGTCCTCAAGCTGCGCGGCGCCCTTCCTATTCCAGGGCAATGTTATAGCGCCTGAGCAAGGTACAACATCCCGACCCAAACACCCACCGCAACCGCTCGCACCGAATGGCCGTACATTCCCATCAACGCTGGTACTCTTATTGCTTCACTTATGAAATACAATTGATATGTAGCGTTGCTACATGAATATATGAGTATAGTGTAGTTTGCTGCGGACGGTTTGGGCGTGTCGGGCGGGATGAGTTTGGCGCGGTGCCAAACCTGTTCTCCAGCAGTTGTTAAAGCGAGCAAATGATTATCATTTTGTTCGTATTACTCGTTTCTACCACTTTTTGTCGCATTGCTTCAACAAGAAGGCAGAGAACGGCTTTGACGGCGTGACATACTCATACTGCCTGACACGCCCAACCGTCCGCAGCGAACTAGAGTATACGTACAACCGTATCTGTCAAAGCGAATTTGCCACAATTCTGTCGGGAAACTCGTACAAAATGTCCAGAGCATTGTAGAACAAAGGTTTTTTCGCAGGTTTTTGGCTGTTAAACTTTGCTTATTTGTCATTTTCCCACTATACACTACCCCTGCCGCTATTTTCGAGAAAGGGTCAAATTACCGCGCCTTTTTAGTCGTAAAATGAAGCATTTGATATCTTGCATTAGATGTTCATGAAGTAGTTCCGTAGTTCATATGAATTCATACAATCAATCAACTTTTCGCAGGTCGTCGCAGTAAAGCCAATTATCACGTTTGGATGAATAAATGGTATTCGTCTAGGACTACTGTAGGATTGATGTTTACGTGTGCGTAAATTTTCAGAATCATGTTTTCTATCCGCGCGAATATTGTTAGTATCTAACAAGATTTGCGGAGTAATCAAGTTCAGCGGGATTGCTACGTCAGAAGGGTTTTCCTCACAGTTCTCGAGAGAAGTCAAAAACAAAAAACCTTCCGGGAGTGAACTAAATGCTTCTTTTGTTAGAGAAAACCAATTTCAGCGAAGACATGCATAAAACAAATGGGTAAGACTGCTGATGAGCCTACTAACATGAGCTCGCAGCTTAAACGCATAAGGCACGATAATTTGATACTCGGTCTTAATTGGCAGCAAGGGGTTACAAAGTAAGCAAATGAGGAAACACTGATTTAGCTTGTGGCGAGCGATTGCTATGGGCGCATAGGTAGGCATACTGCACCTCGCGTAGGGGCTATAACGACGCCCTTGGTTGGAAAAGGCGCCACGCAACGCCACCTCATGGGGCACATTATTCTTCGGTACTTCACCCTGTGCACCTGGTTGACTTATCATGCCACTTGCCTTTAACTCTGCAATAGAGC